AGATTGAAATCCACCAATTTCATTGATCACAAGGTTGTCTAGAACCGACAAGCTCTGAGGGGATGAAGATCGTCACTCGAAGGTGCGGATAGCCTTTGAGATAAGATCACGAATCAAGCCTATGTAAATCCACATAGTAGACTATGATCCACACTTATATTCTAGAATGAATCCACATACTAAAATAAACAAAGCATAGGCTTTCAAGAGAGAAGAAGTTCTTGGTTTTGTATTAATCAATTTCAAGGAAGGAAAATACAAAGATAAAATATTTTGAGCTTATAAAGGATCGACACTTAGGACTAGTACAACATTATAGTGACTGAAAAGGAAACAAAATGCTCGAAATTAAAGATCATAGAGACTCCTTGAAGAAATTAGTCGTTAGGCTTAATTGTACTAAGCCAAAAAGAGAAACTCGTGGGCTTTTGTACCTTGATAGCTTCTGGATGATTCCATGGCTTGCTAATCTTCTAATAACTCCCTCACTATTCACCAAATCAGAAGATTGAATCCGCCATATCGAATGATCATGTCTGCACTTGAATATCCTCTCAAGACCTTCCATATGATTTAAAACCTCCCCTGGCTGCCACATATATGTTTGCAAGGATCCAAAGTTGGAAAACTCCGGTTTATAAAATTAGTAACATTCAAGTCAAAACCGGTATTGACCTTATTCCAATTCTCTGTGTGCTTTTAATGGATCAAGATTATAGAACAAGCTGTTTCATAGTTTGATTCCCTCTAGTTGAGTTGCAATGCTCTTATAAATGCACATAGTCCAAATCGGGTAAGTTTAAAGTTACCCAACTTGGAAATGGCATATCTCCTTCAACCTAGTCGATATTGGGTTGATTCCACTTCGAGACATATTCTAGATAAACTGCAAATACGTTCCAATTTCATGTCCTGAATCTTTGTGGTTGAGCCAGAATGCATCGAATAAAAGTCTTAGGTCTGCCTCAGCTTCAATAATTGGATACCTTGGAATCATCTGATTTGTAAATTCATTTCCAGTTTGGTCCACACTCATATGGACCCAATTTCACTGAGTGTGTTTCTTCAATGAGTTAAGGTTCTGGAATAATTCAGTTTGTTGCTTAAATTCACTTGGTTCATTCGGTACACTCCTTGGAAAAGGCATATGTCCTTTTCTGGTTCAATAAACCTTGTGCCTTTGGTTTGATTGAGCTCCGGTTTAACTACTGGTCTGATGACCTCATTATACCCTCTCCCTTGATTGAATTTTGTCTTCAAAATTGAAGGATATGCGTATTGAGAAGTCAAGTTAGTTTTATGAACCGTAAGAGAGTGTAGGACCTTACCTCGATTGATTTTTTCTTTGAAGTTCGGTTGGGTTTGACATGCTCCATCAGATACTTCCTCCTTGATTAGTAATGAAGCAATGACTCCTTTGGATTGCTTCTAGTTTGTTGCCTTAGACCGTGAGGTATTGGTGTCTTATTTGACTAGTTCTTGGTACATAGATGCGG